CCAAAATCATCACAATTAAAAGAACCAAATACTTAAACTACTTCAGTCTGTGTGCATTGAATTTATTTAATACACGAGTTTCACAATTTGAGTTGAATTACTGAAATAAACTTTTCCACGACATTCTAATTTATTGAGATGCACCTGTATATACATAAATGTTTACATGAAAAAAATTCATATGCATTTTTGCATGTGCATCACACTCTAAAACTAAGAGTTTCTGTATCTTTTCATATGTACAAGTTCTACTGAGAAAGGACAAATGTTGCTTACTAACATGGTATATGCACAAAGAAAGGAAATGGTCATAGAACAATTGAAGGATGTGTGGGAAAGAAGTGAGGTATTTCTTGAAGCCTGATCGCTGGCTACTTAAGGGACTCTGAGACTTCCTGGTCCATTAAACAATGAGAGACATTTCCGTTTTCTGCATAAGCATAAATAAGAAATTGTGTTGTTGTTGTGAACCAGAGTGATTAGGGTTTTTTTGCTACTATTGTCTGTTACACAACTCACTTTAGGACAGTATCATTATGAAAGAGTAGCACTACCTATATTAAAACCAAAAATACAGTAAATACAGCAATATTGTGAAATATTACTGCAATTTAAAACTGTTTTCTATTTGAATATATTTTAGAATTTAATTGATTGCTGTGATCAAAGCTGAATTTTCAGTGTCACATGATCCTTCAGAAATCATTCCAATATGATGATTTGCTGCTCATTAAAACATTCCTTTTTGTGTAAAGTGTGATACATTTAACATCAGAATTCTATAATGAATAGAAAGTTTAAAAGAACAGCATTTATTTGAAATTGACTTTTTTTGTAACAAAGTTTTTACTGTCACTTCTGATCAGTTTAACACATTCATTTCCAACTCCTTCATAGTGTACATTTTTGTAAACCTGTGATTGATTACACGTTTCTTTCTGTCACACAGCTCACTTTATGTTTCTCTCTCCCTCTCCTATGTCCAGAAACTACCACAAGTTAACTGAGTGTATTGAGTTTATATGCAATGCGCTAGGGTGCTTCTACCCTAATCGTGTGGTGGAGCAGCTGTTCGTGAGGATACACCGGCAGTACTTCAGTTCTTGTAACAATGAAGAGGATTTACCCGACGCCCCGGCTGGAGTCGTGCTCGTATCCACACTGCTGCCTATCCTCCTCATACCCTTCATAGTGTACATCGTGGTCTGGAAGAGTAGTTTAAGGGACTGAGTGCTTTTGCATTGTCCCGGATGAGTTAAAGTGATAGTTCACTTCAAAAATGAAAATCCTGTCATCATTTACTCACACTTGTGTCTGACACCTGTATGACTTTCATTCTTCTAAAGAAGATATTTTGAAGTTGTTGTTTGGATGTTCTTCAAAATAGTTTTTTTTGTGTTTTGCAGAACAGAGGATTGAAATGAGATGAGGGTGAGTAAATGATGACCCAGTTTTTACTTTTTGAGTGAGCGGTTGCTTTAAAGTAAACTTTGAATGTATAAAGTTCATGTGGTTCACAATGATGTAATTACTGTAAATAAAACACACGCAGTGGGTGTGTGATTTTTCAACACGCTCATGATTAAGTGTAAAACAGTCTGATAAAATGTACGATTTGTGATCATGATATGAATATACTGTGACTTACTGAAAATATTGAATGTCCTACATATCCTGCTAGACTTTATTCCGTTGTTGTATGTCAGTTTTGCAGCTATTTATTGAAGTTTGAAAATGCTCAGCAACTTGCTCTCAAAACAACTCAAAACAAAATATTGAAGGCTTATTTTTAATGCATTATAAGGATATTCATAATGGCATGCATAAGGCATGCCTTATAAAAACCATTATAATCTGTTGCATCATCTCATGAATCATAACTGCAGTTATAATTTATAATAATAATTTAATAATTTATGCATTTAGCAGACGCTTTTATCCAAAGCGACTTACAGTGCATTCAGGCTATACATTTTTTTTAAATAATATAATAATACATTACAATACCTAACAATTTGTGGTTATGCCTTTTAAGAGCGCAATGTTTTATAACACACAATGAACACATTATATCCAAGTTACAATGCATTATGGTTCCCATAGTTATAATGAATGTCTTATATTTTGACATTGTTTAAAATAATTTAACCTTAGGTTTAATGTCTTATAACCACTTCATAATATCTTATGATTTTTTAAAAGGAGATCAAGCCTTTTTATTTTATGAAAAGCAGACAACTGCTAAACAATTATTATTTATCATTATAAAGCATTTTAATTGTTTACTAGAATACTTGTCACTTTATTTTAAGCAGTAACAAATCACTCAAAATTAGTAAGATACTATGCAGATTCTAAACAACATCTAAATATTACAAATATAGGAATTATAAGCTAATATAACATGGTGTTCATTGTGTTATACATCATTATACACTTAAAGGTTATAACCACAAATAGACGGTATTATAACTGCTGTTATTATTATTCATTATTAACATATTAATTTAGTGAGCAATTATGCATGCATTATAATAAGACAAGACATTAAAAGCATGCTTTTTTTCATGCATTGGTCAATTTTACAATTTTGTGTTCTTTGGCTTTTCAGAAAGAGTTGTTTCAGAGTGGAAAGAAAATATCCAAAATACACAAGGCTTTATCCAGTGTTTAGATTTCTGTTCTGGAAATATATGTTTTATTAGTGCATATTTAATAAGATAATGCCTCCTTTGCATATTTAAACATAACATTTCAGAAAACTTGTAATTCCATTTTTTTTGCAATTCTTAATGTAATCAAATGGATAAGTACGATCTATTAGTTAATTTTTTAGCCTATTCATCTGGGGTGCCTTGCCTTAAGAATACACCTGTAATATATTATAAATACAGGCTTCATAGAGAGTGTTAATAAATATTATTTATTGTTTATCAGTGCATCACTCACGTTTTGATTTCTGTCTCCTGCACAGTCTAAAACACAAATAGCGTATTATAAGAACCACAGCTCCTCCTACTGCCAACACCACTGCTAGCAAAAATGCCATCACGTCTAAAGAGTGATACGAGTACCACGGCATCTTATAAGAGTCTGTACGTAAATGAGCAGCACCCTTATGCCGCATGACGTACTCTATCCAAAAGAGGGCCCTCTCTTGCGGTTGTATAGGCTGGTCTTTGTGTAGCCTAGACAGCCGTTGCATGTTGTCCCTGTACGATGGCTGATGTAAAACCTCCCGGACTGCCGCCGAAAAGCTCTGTCTGTCCAGTTTGGTGACGTCAAGAACCTTAGCGGCCCCTCGTACCTTGAGTCGCAACATATTGTCGAATTGGTCAAAAAGCAAGGGAATCCCAACCACTGGAACCCCATGGTAGATAGACTCAAAAATGCCATTCGCTCCACCGTGAGCGACAAATGCACGTGTTTTAGGGTGACCGAGCAGGTCGTTCTGAGGGAGCCACTTAACCAGAAGAGTGTTGTTGCCCAGATTATGAGGACGCTCTCCTAAGTGCCTCCAGATGACTCGCTGAGGCAGCTGAGCAAAACCAGCAGCGATTTCAGTCGTGATTTCACTTGGAAGACCTCTCACGAGCGTCCCAAGTGACATCACAACCACCCCGTGTTCTCCTGAACCTTGCACAAACTCCTCCAGGTCTGGAGGTAAGGGCTTGGAGGGTTTGCATTGGAAGCCTCCGATGTAGACGATGTTGGGCATGGTTGGACGCGGGAACTCAAAGACGAAATCCGACCTCATGAGCCAAATATCTGCGCCTTGCAGCAAGTGGTAGAAATCAGTTTCAGGTCCAAAATAGCGTGCAACTAGTTTGTCATATTCTGGTCTCACAATGAAATGGTCTATGCACGTGTTTAGCACATAATGGAAAATGTTCTTGAGCCTGTCTCCAAATGACATGCGGTTCGGCAAGCGGCTTAACGCTGCTGGGACGTAAGAAACCGGAGAAGGCGCGACAACAAAGTGCCCTTCTCCACTAGTGATCCATCTCACGTTGTAAACCATTGGTAATTTGAGTTTATGAGCCACCAGCACTCCTGCAGGCAGACCTGGATCGATAAGAACTAAGTCGTAACGTCCCTCATAGAGCTGTTTCATCAACATGGGGTTTTCGAAAATCTCCACAACCAGCTGACTTGCTTGCCAATGCATGCCGTAGAGAATCTTCAACATCTGCCAATAGAACTGCACGAATGCAATCGGCGATCCTCCATGTTTTTGTATCTCAAGCATTTTGCTCAGGAACGAGATGAAGAAATCTTGTTTCTCTATGTTTATTGGCTCTGGTAGGGTCACTGTTATGGCTTTGTAGTGCGGTGAATGCTCCTTGACGTACCAGCTGCTGGCGGTTCGTACCACGGTGACCTCGTGACCGCTGGAGTGAAGGACCTCGATCAGTATATTCATGTTGACCCAGTGGCTTCCGTCCACAGGAAAAACAAGGACCTTCCCGGCCAGAGCAGAGGGAAGGTTGGTGAAGAGGAGTACGGTTAGCAGCAGAAGACAGCGTGAAGATTTTAGGACATTCATTGCTCCCTAGTGCACAGAAAAACACTAATGTTTGACAGACGTAATGCATAACACGATGAAATCATAATTCCTTGAACAAAAAAGTTTGCTCTGTGTTTATTTGATTGAACACATTCCTCTAATGCCGGAAAACACTTCATGCTTGAGTGCATGCATGGACACACACAGGACAAGCCTGAATAGACAGTGTTATTAAAAACAGATGTGTCCTGTTAACCGTTAAGTTTTTGGAGGAAGATTGCATGTTGTATTTGCACGTTCTTTTCTGTGCAACATGCACATTATAAAAGACTCAATGTGAAAGTGAGACTAGAAATTCTGATGGTATTTTCTGCATTTTAACACAAGTATGATTTAACAAAAAGTAGTAAAGTAAAGGTTCATTACTATAGAAACATAACTGATTTAACTGGATGTGGTTTTCTTGCAAAGAAAAGAGGAAAATAAATCACTTTTACCTTCTTCTGTTGCCTGTCTTCCTCTCTCTGATGAAACAAGGGTTTGTTCTGTCTGGTTCCAGATCATGCTTTAGTATTGCGTAACTGAGTGGAGGTAATCCCAGAAAAGTGGGTGTTGTTAATGTGTTTGAGTTTGCGTGAGAAGCGTGCACTAGTGCTGTTTCATAAAAACCTTCTCCAATATTTGCTCCAGGACTTAAAACATGTCTCTTCTCTCTTTCTCTTTACTGGCACAGTTCAAGGATGATGGCAACATGGTTCTATGTTTAATATCTTCAGCAAATTAGATCAAATGTCAGGTCATTAAACTCTTTAGATAAGAATAAAGTGTTAGACTGTAAAGCATGCAAGACAACATCATGAGAATGGAGTGAGAAGAAAACGCTGGGATAAACGACAGGAGGAAAAGCTGAAGCTGATGCTTCACTGACACCAGTCATGAGGGAGTACGTTACCCCTAAACATTGAAAAGATATTAGGATATTACGACAACATTACTCTTAGGACATCGCAAACTAATTTTTTTCATGAATATGACTTAACCTGATTGAGGACGCGCGCAGTCATTCAGGCAGTCTCTCTCTCTCTCTCATGTTTTGTGCCGTTGATCGTCGTCGTCATCCTTAATAAATAAAACATTTATTCATGCTTCGGTGTCAGCTGTGAATCCAGTGGAGAGAAATCCCCCAACAACACTAACTGCAAACTGGCATTCAGATCTGCCTCCATTTTGTTTGCAATGCCCCACCTTCCAACGATCCAATCAATTCCCGAAGGACGAAATCAAGTCCCGCCCTCTCATTTCAGATGCCGTTTCACTCGGATATACGTCACAGTAGAGAAGAAAAGACAATCACAACTTCC